GACAATCCCACAATAAAATGCGAGTTGGGGGAGGCTGCGAGTAACAGCACCCACGTTATCCACGTCTCAGTATTAAATCTTATTTTTAGTATTAATGAGACACAGGAGACAGAATTTTTTTTTAAAGCAGGACCAAGTGAAATTCATTCAGCTACACCGTTACCACCTCATGTGGTCTAGGCTGACTAAAAACAAGTATTCCCGATTTTCTGGTAGCATCTGAGCATACGAAAGATACGGACAGTTATTGAGCTTACTTTCATTTCAAGTGAAAGTGTTTGGTGAAGAGATTCTAAGGTCGATTCCACCAGAAGACGACGACGGATTCCTCTTGACCAGCTAACGATTAGCTTTATTGGAGCATTTATGTTGGCGCTGCTTCCAAGGTAGTCTCCTTCGATTCCGGTGAAAGGGTGCTAAACTTTCGTTCGTCATATGAGAAAACGAGTTTTCTTGATTCGTTGGCTTGAATTTGATTGTAAGAATGATAGCTTGCTCTGATGATGTTAGTCATATGACAGATGAAAGCTTAGCACGTTTTCACCGGAATCGAAGGAGTTACCTGGGAAACAGCGTCGACAAGAAAGCCAAACCGATAGCTGGTCAAGAGGAATCCGCCGTCGTTATGCAAAAAGATATTTCTTGAAAGCCAACTTTTCTTAGCATATACAAAATACATAGTTACGCTGAACCGAAGAAAACGTGCGATTATGCAACAAAATTGTTCCAAACGGACTGTGTAGCAACCAGTTCACCGTTGAACCCGCATTAGTTTGAGTCAACTTTAAGGCTGCAGTCCCAAATCGTGTCATCCCTTCAGCTCAGGTTCGCGTTGCGCAAGCTTCCCGTCAAATAGGGCCTTGGCAACCGGTAGTCACTCTCCACTCCACGCAAGATGATCCGGCCTTAAACTGACCTGCGAGAGAACGGAGCGTCGATTGATCGACTGCAGCTGATTGCCCAACGAGTCGGCACCCAGTGGAAGGTCTCGGGCTGTTTGCACTCCGTAGCCGCCCGTCTTAGTGAAGATGAGCTGCGGCTTCGGAGCACCCACCGCAGGGCAGGGAAGGATCAGCGAGTCGCCCTCCTTCACGACGTGTTCCGTGCGCATCCGCGAGTGCTCGATGCGAGCGGCGGCTGGAGTCGTATGGGGTGATTACGCAAATGGAGGGTGGAAAGGTATGATCACATGAGACGGAAGTTGTGAGCAAACCTGATTTTTCGTCACGACTTCAAGACCGTAGCCGGCAGGTTACGTAGCCTCTTCACAAAGAATCATCGTTGCTTTTGAACCTACTTTCATTTTAAGTGAAAATGCTTGATAGGCCAAAGACAGTTTACCTGACTGGAACCTTCTGATAGACCAAATCCTCTTAGAATCAAGGGAAAATTTGCATAAATTTCGTTTGAAATACAATTTGACAGACATTAACAGAACTGGGCACCCTTTCCACATGTTGAGTAGTTACTCTAATTCTATGCAGAGTGTGTTTGAGAGTAGGTGTGAAACTAAAACTGATGGCCTCAGGTCAACAGAACTGGTCTTGAAATTTTCCCTCGGTTATTAAAGATTAATCATCAAAATTAAAAAAACATCACTTTACTTGCGTAATCCGGACACACATTTGACTAGTTTGATATGCTTATTGTTCCAAAAGAGTGAATCTTTCTATAACGAGAACTACAAAAACTGGTTTCTTTTCGCCTCTAGCCTCGAGACAATCTATCATGCAAGAGTAATTCATACCTAATCTTGAATCTGCAAACTGGACGTTCAACTTATTGCCGAACCTACAGATTTAGTAAGTCGCTCTAGTTTAAATCTGAGCAATTTTTCAGGTCATAATCGGAAAACCGGCAAATTCGAGAAAAATATTTCTAATATATCCTTTCTGTCACATGTCAAGATCTACCTTTGAAGAGGAAATTATGTGGCCTGCTTCAACCAGAAGGTTTCAGTAAGGCACAACGTCTTCTGATGAGATCAGCCTAGGAACCTTATCGTTGCCAAAACTTACTCAAAACTGCAGTGAGTTCAACAATTGAAAAACATTTCTGCATTTATGTTCTATCTCACTCCAAAGTTGTGAGAGAATAAATCTTATGATTTACTGTAAAAGGAGGATAATGTTAGCTTCCTAGAGAAATCAAGAAATTTAATAAAAAATAACCCTTAGTCATGCCGTTTGCGGACACAATACTACCATCTAAAAAGAAATTAGTTCCTTCTAAGATAAAGACTTAATATTTTTGAGCTCACTTCAATTTTGAGCTCGATTATATGACAAGGCGATTCGGTAATTCCAAGAGGAATCCGCTGTTGTCTTTGGATCAGGTCGACCTCCTTGAATCGCTTCAGCACACACTGACACTCGGACTGGAAGTGAGCACAAAAAGGGGTAAAACAAGAAATTCAGCTTAAGGCAACTCTTATTCGAATATGAACTATGAGATTCGAGATCACTGAGTGAAGGATGAGGTTCGAGTTATTGGTCTTCATGTGTCTTTGTAGAGCACTAGAACAAGAATGACAGCACCGTGGCACTAGAAATAAATAGAGCAACACTGCTGCGGAAGCGACAGCGAGACTGTGCCAAGACAACGGAACAGACTTGATGGACTTGGGTCCGAGCCCCTTTATTCAATGGGAAGCAGTATCAAGACTCAAAAAAAGGCATTGTAGTTGGGAGTAAAAAGGGGATCACTTACAGCCGACGGACAAGTCAATGTTGATCTCGATCTGGCCGAATTTATTTTTTGCCACACATCTGTACCTTCCCGCGTCCGTTGCCCTCAATTGCAGGATCTCAAATTGCCTGCCTTTGTCAACCACTCGGAGCCTATACAAGCATGCATGTATGTATGCGTGTATGTATATATGTATGCATGTATTTGTGAAATAGATTCATATATATAAGAAGAGAGAGAGAAAGACGAAAGAGTTAATCCAAATTAATCTATGCTATTTTGACTGCAGGTTTTTCCAAGGCCAGATGATTACACCTTGGCGCTGGAATACGTATTGGTATCAAAATGAAGACTAAGGCCTCGGCTGAGGTCAACCGAATTGATCATTCCTTCCAACTCTTCGAATCATTCGAAGTGATTAGGAAATAGAAAAATTTTGCCACCCTGGGCCACTTCAGAGGATGCCAGAATTAATGGCTGAATTTCTCATGTCCAAATGTGTAGAAAGCCCAACAACGGGGTTAAAATCAGAGTTGTTTACGTCAAATGTCAGCGTTACCACTCGTCCACACATCCATGTGTTCCAGTGGGTCACGGGGAAGACCTCACGAAACTCAAATTCGTGGTATTATTACTTACAGGTCTGAAGGCCCAGATGGCATTACCTCTATTCTGATTTCAGTCTCCTATCAATTAAAAAAAATTTTGACTTTATTCTCACAACTTGGAACCGTTGTCAGGGCGACCTTGAAGAGCATGCTCTATTCTGGGCACTGTGCCATAATATCAATGCCGATTTTCAGCGCCAGACATGAGCTAAGTACTTCCCCAGACGCCTCGCATGCACCGAAATCCTCATATTCAGCAAGCCTTACCACTCCTAGCACCAAGCAACAAATAACATCGGCTTAGTGACGATACCAACCAAGATGCTAGAGTGCACCATATCAATGGGAATAAGCATGACGACCATTGCAGAGGATGCCAGATAAAGTACTTCACCAAGGTATTTTTGAAAACACAACCGAGTCGCAAAAAAGAGGTCAGACAGAGTACATATCGGGATAACAGTAGATAGGGCAAACTTATATTTGCTATTAAAATAGGCCACATTACTCTATTTTAAATGAGTAGTATTTGACACCCTCGGTAGAATTTGGATACACTCATGAGTTATCTTAGGCCAGTTGAGCCGACTGAAGGTCTGGCAGTTGAATTTCCTATAATGAAATTACTCATCCGAACTGGACTGCAGCCTCGACCTCGTCTAAGACTCATCAGAAACCACGCCTGATTCACATGAGCCTCATTGTGAGAACCTCACCTACTTGTTCCCTCTCGCATTAGGCGACCTAATTTGACTCATATTATTATACAAAAATTCGGATTAAGACTATGCTGCTCCATTTTACAACGCTCGAATATACAATTTTAACTGTTTTGCACTTTTCCCTCGGAGAACGAAGGAAGACGGATTCTCTTTCGGCCCGATTTCCTACGATGCGACAGACCTAATTAGATGAAACTATTCAAGGATTATCATACAAACATACAAGTGGATTATACTTTAAACGTATTGTTAAGAAGATAACGTGCCGTTGTACAAA